CCTTGCCGGAGACCACACCTACTCTGCGGTGGACGGGGAAGGTTGGCGATGCGTCCGCGTTCTGTGTCTGGGGATCTCGAGCTTTTGTCCGCGATACTACAGCGGACAAGCTGTCCTCCCGTGCCGTTCCCTGTGTCTTCCTTGGCTTCCCTCCTGACGCACCCGGGTGGCAGTTCTACCACCCCACCTCGCGTCGTGTTCTGTCCTCTCAGGACGTCACGTTCGACGAGTCGGTGTCGTACTACCGTCTCTTTCCCTACCGCACTGCCTCTCCCCCCCCCCCGCCACTCTTCTTGGCACCAGGTACTCCCCTGGTAGACCCCCTCCCCCCCCAGGGTCCTGCCCCCTCAGGTGTGTCCCAGGTAGACCCTGCCGAGCCGGTCGAGGTAGCTGTCGACTCAGGTGCTGCTAGGGGTGCTGACCCTGCGGGTGCGGGGACTGGGGGTGCTGAGATTGGGGGTGCTGAGTCTGGGGGTGCTGAGTCTGGGGGTGCTGAGACTGGACGTGCTGAGCCTGGGGGTGTGGCGCCTGAGGGTACTGTGTCTGGAGGTGCTGAGCCTGTGCGTGCTGAGTCTGGAGGTGCTCTAGGTGTCCCGTCGCGGCGGGAGCCCCTCTCTCCACAGCGGCTTCGTGAGTGGTACTCTCGGCACTGTCGGGTTGCTGCTGGAGGTGCTGCTGGTGCAGGAGCTGCTGGAGGTGCTGGCGCTGCTGGAGGTGGTGCTGGTGCTGGAGCTGCTGGAGGTGCTGGTGCTGCTGGAGGTGGTGCTGGTGCTGGAGCTGCTGGAGGTACTGCTGGTGCAGGAGGTGCTACTGGAGCTACTGGAGGTGCTGGCACTGCTGGAGGTGGTGCTGGTACTGGAGCTGCTGGAGGTGCTGCTGGTGCTGGAGCTGCTGGAGGTGCTGCTGGTGCTGGAGCTGCTGCTGGGACTGGAGACCCTGAGGCTGAGGGTACCGGTTCTGTCTCTGCTGTTTCTGGAGGCGCTGTGCGGCCGCGGCCGTACTACGTTCCGCTTCTTCAGCAGGTTCTTGGCTCCCCGCCTTCTCCTGGTCCTCCTCCTCCTTCCCTGAGTCCACCGCCTGTCCCGTCTCAGTCGCAGTTACAGCCGGCCTCTCCGCTGCCTGGTCCTTCTCCTTACTCTGGACCGAATAGAGGTCTTACGGAGCGTCGTGAGCCTGAGTCGCGTCCTGTGTCGCCTGTGTCTCGTTCTACGTCGCCTGTCCGTTCTGTTCGCGCTGGTCGTGTTTCGCGTCCGCGTCTTCCTCCTGTCCCAGGCACTCACTCTATGACACTGCGTCCTTCTACTGCTCCACAGCGTGTCCCTCTGCCCTCTCCTCCTGCGTCCCCTCTTCCTGACGGTCCGGACCCGGAGTCTGACTCCCTTCGTGCTGCTAGTCCTACTGTCACGCGCTTTCTGGCCACTGCTGTTACTGACCCCCTGTTTGAGTTCTCTGCTGCGTCTGCTCTTGTTGCTGAGCTTGTTGACTTTGCTGCAGCCTGTCGCCTAGACTACGCCGCTAGTCTTGTTGCTGAGTCTGCGTCTGTGTCTGTCTGTCCTCCGTCCGTCGGGGGTGAGTGTGCTCTTGGCACGGACGTCCTTGAGGGCAGGCAGGAGGACCTTGAGAGCTTTGCCGCTGCTTCACCTCATCTCGTGTCCATGCTGCTTGCCCCTGAGGGAGACCCGGATGCACTAGACATCCCGACCCCGTGCTCTTACGCAGAGGCGATAGAGGGTCCCTACTCCTCTCAGTGGCAGGCAGCCATGGACGCAGAGATGGCTTCCTGGAAGTCCACAGGCACCTACGTAGACGAGGTTCCCCCACCTGGGGCGAACATCGTCAGTGGCATGTGGATCTTCAGGGTGAAGCGGCCGCCGGGTTCTCCGCCTGCCTTCAAGGCGCGTTACGTTGCACGTGGCTTCAGTCAGCGACAGGGAGTTGACTTCTTTCAGACCTTCTCCCCTACCCCGAAGATGACCACTCTTCGGGTACTGCTGCACGTTGCTGCTCAGCGTGACTACGAGCTCCACTCGCTTGACTTCAGCACAGCCTTCCTACAGGGCAGCCTGCACGAGGAGATCTGGCTGTGCCGCCCACCTGGTGTCACTGGGTCGTTTCCTCCTGGTACCCAGTGGAGCCTCCGGCGGCCAGTCTACGGTCTCCGCCAGGCGCCCCGTGAGTGGCACGACACGCTCAGGACGACTCTTGCTACTCTTGGTTTTGCTCCTTCCACTGCTGACCCTTCTCTGTTTCTACGCACTGACGCTACTCTGCCGCCGTTCTACGTTCTTGTGTACGTAGACGACCTTGTCTTTGCTACTGCTGACACGGAGGCACTCGCCCATGTGAAGTCCGAGCTGCAGAAGAGACACACGTGCACAGACTTGGGTGAGCTGACAAGCTATCTTTGCTTGCGGATCACCCGGGACAGAGCACAGCGCACCATTACCTTGACTCAGTCACACATGGTGCAGCAGGTCCTTCAGCGCTTCGGCTTCACGTACTCCTCGCCACAGTCCACTCCTCTGCCTACCGGTCACTCGCTCTTTGCTCCACCTTCGGACGAGTCCGTAGAGCCGAGTGGCCCGTATCCAGAGCTTGTGGGCTGCCTCATGTACCTGATGACTTGCACACGACCTGACCTCGCATACCCTCTCAGCCTTCTGGCTCGCTACGTGGCTCCCAGGAGGCACCGAAAGGTGCACTGGGATGCTGCGAAGAGGGTGTTGCGATACTTGTGCAGTACATCGGGCATGGGGCTCATGCTTGGAGGACGGGCTCGAGTTGTCCTCACTGGTCACGCTGACGCCTCCTGGGTTGATGACTTGGCTACGCAGCGGTCGTCACAGGGTTACACCTTCAGTCTTGGCTCCGGCTCTGTCTCTTGGCGGTCTACCCGCTCTTCTTCTGTTCTCAGCTCCAGTTGTGAGGCTGAGATCTACGCTGGAGCCATGGCTGCACTGGAGCTTCGCTGGCTTACCTACCTGCTGACCGACTTGGGAGAGGCGCCTCGTTCTCCTCCAGTTCTGTACGTCGACAACAAGGCCATGCTGGCCTTGTGTCAGGAGCACAGACTGGAGCACAGAACGAAGCACATTGCTCTGCGCTACTTCCTTGCTCGAGAGTTGCAGCAGCGTGGCCAGCTTCGTCTTGCTTACGTGGCCTCTCAGGCCAACACTGCTGATGTTTTCACCAAGGCACTTCAGCCTTGTGATCTTCAGCGTTTCTGTACTGTGTTAGGTCTTGTACCTACTGTGCCTCACTTGTTGACTTCTTGACTCTGCTTGTACTGTACTCTATATACTTATACCTGCATGCTTACACTTGCTAGGTTGTGTTCACTGTATTGTTTGCTTTCCTTTATATAACTCTGCATGTGAACTGGCCTTATGGCCCTTTGCTTGTGCTCAGACTGTGTGGTGACTTTGTGATCCACCCTGAGCTTGCTTTGTCTTTCTTGACTGGTCTTGTGACCCCTTGTTCTCCCCCACTTTGCCTATGGGGGTGTGTCAAACTTATATCTACTATAGTCTGTTTAGGCTGTAGTGGGGTAGTCCTTAGAGGGTACAACACTTTTGTGTTTTCTACTTGTACCCTTCTGCTTTTCAAGTTCAACCATTCATTCCTATTATTCTCACAACACCCCCATAGGCTAAGTGGGTGACAAAAAGACGGTCAAAAGACCAGCAAAGAGAAACAACAAAGCAAAGCTCAGGGTGGATCTCAAGATCACCCTACAGTCCGAGCACAAGCAAGCAGCCACAAGGCCAGTTCACATGCAACGTTATAACAACAAAAGCAGTACAATGATCACAACCTAGCAGGCGTACACATGTAGTTATAGATATATATAGCAGATTACAGCAAGACTATAACAAGATTAGAGCAAGTGAGGCAGAGTAGGCACAAGGCCAAAAGCAGTGCAGAAACGTTGATGATCACCAGACCAAATGGCCTTGGTGAAGATATCAGCAGTGTTGTCCTGGGAGGCCACGTAAGAAAGGCGAAGCTGACCACGCTGCTGTAACTCTCGCACGAGAACGTAGCGAAGGGTAATGTATTTCGACCTGCTCTGGAGTATCTGCTCCTGATACAAGGCGATCATGGCCTTGTTGTGAGCGTACAGAATCGGTGCAGAACAAGGCTGCTCTCCCAAGTCGGTGAGCAAGTAGGTCAACCAGCGTAACTCCTGCGCAGCCATAGCCTCAGCATAGATCTCGACCTCACCGTTGGAGTTGAGCACAGAAGACGAGCGAGTGTACCTCCACGAGACAGAGCCAAGGCCGAGGCTGAAAGTGTAGCCCTGTGAAGACTGGGAAGTCGCCTGGTCGTCGGCCCACGAAGCATCTGAGTGCCCTGTGAGCACAACTGAACCCCGTCCCCCAAGCACAAGCCCCAAGCCTGATGTACTGGCCAAGTAATGCAGCACCCTCCTAGCAGCCCGCAAGTGCTCAGGGCGCTGAGCGCACCCTCGAGATGAAGGGCGTGCGTACTGTGCATGCCCGTACTGCGGGGCACGAGAAGAAGCGCGTCACCGTCATGCTGGCGGTGACGGCGGGCGGCTTGAAGCCCCTTCCGTATGTGGTCTTCAAGCGGAATATTTTGCCGAAGATCCCCGTGCCCCGAGGTGAGGTGTGCTTGTGTGGCTGTTTTGTGGTTGTTTCTCACCCTAATCCACCGCTAATTGTCCTAAGTTATCACGCAGGTGTTGTCATCCGAGCCCAGGGTGGACGAGCGACTTGTCCAAGACTAGACAACACAAGTCCTCGTCCCTAACCTGAAGCCGCTCCGCGAGGAGTAAGGACGGCGCAAGGAGGCGCTCCTCGTCCTCGACTCCTACCGAGGGCACACCACGGAAGGCGTCGGCCAAACCATGAAGCTGTTCAAGCTCACGCGTGTGGTGATCCCTGGCGGTTGCACCTCGCTGGTGCATCCGCGGGACGTTTCGATCAACCGCAGCTTCAAAGCCGGGGTTCGCCACCGCTACTCTACGTGGTCCGAGGATGAGGGAATTGGATTCACCAACCCGGCAGGTGAGCACATGTCGGTCCCCGGTTTATTGTTTGAATTTGGCCTGTTTTGACTCATAAGTGCACATACCCGTGCCTGAACCCGCACGGAACTTGAAGAAACCACAAGCGGTTAAAGTGCTTCGCTGGACTGCTGGGTCCTGGGCTGACATCCCCGAGGAGCTGGTGAGGAAGTCATTCATCACCTGCGGCATCTCCACTGCTGTTGATGGGAGCGAGGATCATCCGATCATCGCTCACCTGCGGGATAAGGCGGAGGTGAAGGTGCTGGAGGATGTGTGTGAGGAGGAGCTGGACGAGCTCGTCCCCAACCCCTTCTACCTTGACCCTGCTGCCATTGCTGACACAGTCGGAGGAGGAGGAGGAGGAGGAGGAGGAGGAGGAGGAGGAGGAGGAGGAGGAGGAGGCGGAGGGTGGTGAGGAGGAGGAGGGAGGAGCCGCAAAGGAGGTGGGAGCTGGACAGGGATGGGAGGATGATGACGAGGAGTGGTGGGTAGTAGGGCGTCATGACGGTGTGGAGGTAGAGAACTTGGTTGCTGCTGGACAGGATGACAACTAGATGTGCCTGTGATTGTGTGATTGTGCCTCCTTGATGAACTTGTTATGAACTTGTTAAGATATATGGTATGTTTGAGTAGAAAATCTATCAATTTTTCATTGCTTGGATCTTAAATGACAAGGTTTCTAGAGGGGGGGGGGGGGGGGGGAGGGGGGGGAGGAGAGGGTCTTATAATGTCAGCTGCCATTTAGGGGGGTATAACTACAAACGACCCAAATAGAGTACCCCCCCCTCTTCCCCCCGTATTATAGACCCGGGGGTCTACAACTGGGGGGTTGGGGGGGTCTTACCATATATCCGGGGTATTACCGTACCCGCAGGCCTACAATTACCTGGTGGTTGGCTTATCCAGGTGATTACCGTATGCTTTAAACCGTCCAAGATTTTTTGGGGTCAATATTGCCCTGCTTCAACCTGACATGTTTTGCTTTGAAAAAAAACACGACTGGTGGCAAGCCCTTGACTGAGCACGCATGCTGTGCTGATAGATGCTAAAATACTATGTGAACCTTACTCAAGGAAGCTGAAACAACGGGAAGCATACACAAGATTGAACAGAAGAACCTGGAAAACGCAATCTGCAGCCCATCTCAGTAACAAAATGGCCATTATTAGTGGCTAGTGTCGTGGAAACCGCACATGCATGTGAAACGCCCATCACACTCATCGTGTGACCTGCACACAGCCAGGCAGCAAGCTCACCCCCACACTGGTCACCTGAGGGCATCCAGTCATCCTGAGCTGCCTCAACCCCACCATGCGTGCCACATGCACCATACCCGCATCCGTCACCCCCACACACCCACTAACATCCAAAAACCGCAACCCGGGAATCCCCGCCACGTGTGCCAGTACAGCATCCGTCACGCCATGCGCATCACACAGCTCCAGACGCTCCAGCTGAGTCAGCTTGCTGACGTGGCGCAGCCCGTCAGGCGTGAGCCCAGCGCAGCACCGAAGATCAAGCGCCTTGAGGGACGGCAGGCAGGCAGCATGCTCCAGAGCCTCCCCAGTAATATTCTTACACCCAGGGGGGGAGCCCCAGCTGAAGGAGAGAGCGGTGATGGTGGGGAGGAGGTGGGGGCGGAAGCGGTGCAGCGCCTGCAGCAGCAGGGCGGCGTCGGTGTCGGCGATGTCGGGGTGGTGGGAGAAACGCAGAGTGCTGCGCTGCACTATGCCCAAGCCGTACCGGTCGAGGGCTGCTCTTGCTGCCACCACTCGCTCTGCCTCAGCCTGCGAGTGGGAGGGAGTAGGAAAGGGGGGGAGGGGAGTGTGCATAAGCAGTGGGGCAGCATGTTGTGCTGCGCTGCACATCCCAAGCTGTACTGGTTGAGAGCTGCCTGTGTCGCCACCACTTCATCCAGCCTCAGCCTGCTGGTGGAAGGGAGTGGGGGATGGGGGGGCAAGTGCAGAAGCCAAGGGGACAGGAGTGAGAGCCCCTTGAGCTGCAGCACACACGGCCACAGCCCTAACCTCTATGAGCTGCTGTGCTGCCACGTGCATTGCATCCCACCCCACAACATCAGATACCTCAGGAGTTGCTCGCCCAGACCCACACCTCACCTCCATGAGTTGCTGCACCTCCTGCCCTCCTGCCCCAGCACACATGCCCTTCACTTATTAGCCCACCAGAACCCATAGCCCATGTGCAGCACTCCACCGCACCCCACCACAGCAAATACCACTACTCCCCACCATTCTCACCTCCATGAGTTGCTGCACGGTCACATGCTGCTGCTTCCTGCCCTCCTCTGCAGCCGCCGCCACCTCTTCCCACCGCACTCGCCACTGCCCCTCCATCGCACTCACCCTCTCCCCATCCGCCCGTCCTTTCTCTTCCACCTCCCTCCCCACCCTCTCCACCTCCCGCCCAGCCATTTCCTTCCATGCCGCCAATCCCCCTCCCCCACTCCCTCCCCCCTCTCCCGCTTCTCCACCACCCTCTCCTTCCTCTCCCCCTTCCTCCACCCCCTTCTCCAGCCTCTCTACAAGCTTCTTCAGCTGTTCTGCAACGCCCCGTCGCTCCTCCTCCTCTCGTTTCTGCAGCGCCGACACCCGCCCCATCCACTGCTCCTGCACCTCTCTCAACCGCTCTGCGTCCCTCCGGTGCCGCCCGGCCACTGTCTCCCCCCACTTGCTATCCGCCGCCACCCCCCACAGCCGCTCCCACTGCTGCAACTGCTCCCCCTCCGCACGCCGCTCGTCTTCTAGCCGCTTGCGGGCAGCGTCGAGGCGGGCAGCGATGTTGTCGTGGAGGTGGCGCAGTTTGTCTGCATGCGTCTGGGCGGTGTCGTCGAGGCGCTGGCGCAGTGAGGCGAGCTGTGCGCGCACGTGGGCGGAGAAGAGCTGCAGCACCACCTGGGGGGGGAAAGAGAGGGGGAAGGTGGGAAGAAAGGAGGGGAGAGGGGGAAGGGGGAAGGAGGAATGGGAAGAGGGGAGAGGGGGAGGGGGAAGGTGGAGAGGAAGAGTGTGTGTAAGTTGTGGGTGGGAGAGGGACAAGACGAGCAGCGGTGAGAGCAGGGACAGGGGGGAGGGGAAGGGAGAAGAATGGGGGAGGGGGAGGGGCAGGAACAAGAAAGAGGGTGCGGGTGAATGGTACGAGGGAGACGGTGGGAGGAAGAGGGAATCCGCATCAGTTGTGAGGCGAAGGTAAGACAGGAAGGGCAAACAGCAGCAAGTAGGAAGCAAGTGCCTCTTGTTGCAAGGCGTGGGCACCACTCCCCACTTCCCACACTTGCAAACCCCCGCTCTCCCTGCTCACCCCCCCTCCCCCAACCCCCTCATCTCCCCTTCTTCCCACCACACCCCCCCCACCTGCCCCCCTCTTCCCACCTCTCGCCTCTCGCGCATCCCCGCCCTCTCCCCCTTTTGCTCCCCCCGCGAGTCCCTTCCCCCCTCCGCGCACCTCATCCAGCAGCTCCAGTTTCTTCGCGTCGTCGCCCAGCGCCGCCTGTGTTTGCCGCTGGAGCTCCCCCGCCCACTCCGCCCACTCCGCCTTCACCGCGCCCAGCGCCTCCTCGTCGCGCCGCCGCTGCGCGCGCGCCTCCGCCTGCATAACCGCCACCTCCGCCTTCGTCTGTTCCACGCGCTTCCCCCACGCGACCTCCATCATCTCGAACTGCGCGTGGATCCGCGCAACCGCCTCGCGCTGCGCCTTGCGCTCCGCGTCGATGCGCTTCTCCGCCTCCGCCACACGCTGCTCCACCGCCTCCGTCTTCCCCGCGCAGTCCTTGAGGATCTTCGCCGCGCGCTTCAGGTTCCGCTTGCGCTCCTCCTCCGCCTGCCGCGCGGCTTCCTCCACTTGCGCGGCGATCTCAGCGGCACGCGCGGATGCGGCTTCCGCCTGTTCTTTGCGCGCTTCTGCCTCGCGCTGAAGCCCCTTCTCCAGTTCCGCGTCCGCCGCCCGCCGGCTCTCCTCTATCTTCTTCCCCACCGTTTCCTCCACCACTTTGCACCGCTTTACACCCCTCCGCCTCTCCTCCTCCACGTGTTTCCGCACTTCCGCCAATTTTCCCTCCCACTCCCGCTCAATCTCCGCCAGTCTCCCCGCGTCCGCAACCCTCCCCGCGTCCGCCTGCGCCTGCATCTCCGCCAGCCGCCCCGCCCACGCCTCCTGCGCGGAATGCAGCCGCCCCTCCGCCTGCTTGAGCTCCGCGGACACGCGGAAGCGCATGTCCTCCACGCGCCCCACCCACCCCGCCTGCTCCGCCTTGAGCTCCGCCACCTGACGCTGCATCTCTTCCGCCATCGCCTGCAGCATCCCCGCCTCCTTCGCGCCCCACCGCTCCTCCACCGCCGCGACCTTCATCACCGCCAGCTCCTGCGCCGCCCGGATACCTTCCGCCAGCTCCGCCTCCCCGCGCTGCCAGCGCCGCTCCAGCGCCTGTAGGCGCTCCGCGGAAATGGCGCGTTCCGCCTGCATGAGCGCCTGCAGCTTGTGAACCTCCGCGCCCCACTGCTCCTCCAGCTGCTCCTTCACGCGCGCAATCTCCCTCCGCCGCTCCTCTTCCGCCTGTTTGCGCATATCATCCTCCCGCGCGCCCCACATCATCCACTTCTGCCACCCCGCCTGCCCCTGCGCAGGAGCTTTTCCTCCGCCTTGCGCCTGCGCGTGGGCCTGCGGGTGCTCCGCTCCCCCTGCTGCGCGCTCCTTCCATTCCGCCTCCATCTCCGCCAGCCGCACCGTAACCTGCGTTGCCACGTCAGCGGCCATCCGCTCTTCCATGCGCGCGGCGATTTTTTCCTCGATTCGGGCAGCTAAACGTTCTTCCAGCTGCCCGGCCAGCTTGCCTTCGAGCTCCGCGGTCAGGTTCTCCAAGCTGGCGGCGACGCGCCGCTCAATGGCGGCGGCGGCGTCCGCTTCGATCGCCGCCACGTGCACCTTCACTGCTGCTTCCACCTGAGCATTCACCTGCGCTTCGGCAGCTGCTGCCTGCTGAAGAACCTGCCAACATAGGGGCGGTGGCGCAGAGTTCACATATTAGCCAACGGGTTCCTCAGCTCATTTGCGCAGATTCGGGGCCGGCTGCTTACCTCATTTTTATCCACATCAGCAAGGGCCGCTGAACCGTCGGATGCGGAGTCGCCATCGGAGGAGGCGGACGAGGAGTGATGGGAGCCGTTGGATGAGGCGTCCGAGTCCATCAACGCCAGCACGTCCGCCAGAAGCCGCAGCTCCTCCACCGACCCCTCGCTCGCCGCGCTTCCCTCTTCCGCCTCCTCCGCCGCCCCCTCAATCGCTGCGCTTCCCTCTTCCGCCTCCTCCGCCGCCTCCTCGATCGCTGCGCTTCCCTCTTCCGCCCCCTCCGCCGCCCCCTCGATCGTTGCGCTTCCCTCTTCCGCCCCACCCGCCACCTCCGCCTCGTGTGCCTTCTCCGCCTCGTCAGCCCGCAGCTCCTCCACTGACCCCTCGCTCGCCGCGCTCCCCTCCTCCGCCGCTTCCGCCGCCTCCTCCGCCGCCTCCGCCGCCTCCTCCGCCGCCGCCGCCTCCTCCCCGCCTTCCGTCGCTTCCGCCCTCTCCGCCTCGTGCGCCGTCACCGTGCTCTCTCCCGCCTCTTGTGCAGCCGTGTTTCCTCCGCCTGGCCCTTCCTCGCCGCCTGTCCCTTGCGCTCCGCCGTTTTCCCCATTCGCCGCGACCTCTCCGTTCTCTGCGCCATTTCCTTCGTCCGCGCTCACCGCGCCTTCAGCAGTTACCTCAACCATTGCCGCGTCGCGCTGCATTGATTCGCCCGCCTTCTCATCTGCCACATTTTCATGGTCCTCACTCTCTTGCGTTTCTGTCCTCTCCACCTCCTCACTCTTCCCCGCCTCGTCACTCGTCTCTACCCCTTCGCTCTTCTCATCATTCTTAATCACCCCACCTCCCTCTACCTCTTCTACATCCTCGCTATGAGCTACCTCGATTCCCTCATCACCCGCTACTAGCACTCTCTTCTCATCCTCATGCTTCTCATGCCCCACATCCTCCGCACTCTCGCAGCCGTTGCTCTCAATCGCATCATCATCATTCCTGGTGCAAGTTATCCCTCCCTCGCTCTCCGTACGCTCCACCACCTCCGCTTTCCCCTCTTCGACCGAGCTCACCGCCTTGTCCGCCGCGACTGGCGCCGCTTCAGGTGCTGCGTCACTCGCGTCCACCTCTTCCGCGTCGGGCTTCTTGTCTGACGCGCAGCTGTTGGGCTCCGTTTCTCCAGACGCTTCCTCCGTAACCGCCGCCGGCGCTTCGTTTCCCGCCTCTGCGCCCGACGCGCTACCCGCGCCTTCCTCTGTCTCGAAAGCTACTCCCTCACCGGCATGCACGGATACGCCCTCCGGCGGTTGTGCCTCCTTGCACGCAGGGCCGTCAGCATGCTCGGGCTCAATCTCGCTTTCGCGCGCGTTCTCGTTCTCGTTCTCACCGGCCGTGGCGGTCTCCGCTTCAAGTGCTGCGTTTGCCGCGGCCTCGCAGGTCACGTTCCCCTCATCAGCATCGTCCGTGGCCCCTTCGCCTGCTCCTGCATCCGAGTCCGCATTGCCATCCGCCACGCTTGCTTCGCCCGTGCTCGCAGCCGAGTCTGTTGGGTCCACGCCGCTTCCGGTTCTATCGCCAGCTTCAGCAATGGTTCCAACGTCTGCGCTCGCATCGGCTTCGGATGCATCCTCGGCTGCTGCGACGCTGACATTCGTCGCATCTTCAGCTGCTGCGACGCTGACATCCGCAACATCCTCGGCTGTTGCACCCTCTGCATGATCATCCTTATTCAAGCCGCTCGCGTCTTCCACGTCCTTTCTCACGTCGCACGCTTCCTCAGCGGCCGCAACGCCATCTTCCTCCACCCCTCCGCTGCTTCCCTCGTCTGCCTTGCTGCTGACTTCCTCGCGTCCACCCAAGGCCGCTTCAGGACCCTGAACACCGTCAGCCTCTCCGCGATCTTCGGGGTCTCCACTCCCAGCCGATGGGTCTGTCGCATTGCGATCGAATGAAGCCTCCGAAGCTTCGCTCGCCTCTAGGCTCTCCCCTTGGATCTCCTCGCGGCTCTCCTCCCGCGTCGCTCCTTGAAAGGCGGCCGGCTCCTTTGAACTGGTTGAGAGAGAATCCTCCGACATTGCGCTTTCGGGGCCTATGCCGTTGTTTGTTTCGCCAGCAGCTCGCGCATCTGCTGCTGAATCTTCCTCCATCTTTGCTGGTTCGGAGGCCACCGCATCGCCGTCAGAAAGGCTGTCTGCGCCCCCGTCTCCATATTTCTCCACGTTATTCACATTTCCCTCGAAATCTCTTACCATATTTTCAGTCTCCTTCGTAACCGGGTGTTCCGTGTTCTCCGTCTTCGGGCAGTCGTTCACACTCTGGGAGCTTGCAGCTGAATTCACGGCTTTCGGTGATTCTTGTTGCGCTACCAGCGAGATGTCACCAGCCAAATTTCCTCCGTCGCCAGGGTCCTCTAGCTCAATCTTTTCCATATTTTCACTTATTTCCGCCGATGGGATGCTTGCTGTCGGTGAGGGGATGTCAGGTCCTCTGGCACAAACTGATGGCGTTTCAAGCAGCCAAACAAGTTGAACAATTGAGATGGTTGCTAGCTCAGTGTGGAATTCCAACCAAACGGGTGAGGTTTTGAAAGATGGTGAAATGCAGCATTGCCATCATGCGGCTTGGGTTGGGAAGGGATGAGAGAATTCCAGCATGATGTGGATGCGGAATTCTGGATTGTTTGTTTTTCCTCTGGCAACTACTCCAAAATTTGGAACTTTGGGTAAACTCAATACAGCCCGAGCTGCTAAGTGGTAGTTTTCGAGACAAATCATGAGTAGTTTTTCACGTCTGAAGGATCAACAAAGGGGGAATGCCTCGTTTTGAAGTATCACACTTTGCAGCCAAAGTTTCATGGTAGCTCTTCGTCAAACAAAACCCGCAGCGCACACGCGAGTCGCCTTGAGTTTATTCGTTTCGCTGTGCAATTATCGAACGAATCGCCACCTGAACACCATTCACAACCTTTGACAATGGCGGGGGACCTACTCCCAATACAAGCACTTTTATGCATGTCTCTACCCTGGCCCATATTTCCCAGTGCACAGAGTAATGTGATTGGGTAAATTCATAATTCTAAAATGGGGCAGACGACTGTGTATTGGGGTCGAATTGAAGAGGCACACCATGAGTGTTAGTGAGATTTCAGTTGCGGGGACAATGTTGGATCCTCGTAAACGCCGCAAGGCCGTTTTTCTTCGCATATTGTGCAGGCAAGTGAGGTTGAGGGGCGAGGCGCTGCAGTCGTGAGCCAGTCAGTAGGAGCGCTGTAGAGAAAGCATTGTGAAGTGAACGCGAGGGTGGAAGTGAATCGATCTTAGACGCCGCCTTGCCGCCATGAGGCTTGCGACGCTCGCCACGTGCGCGCTGAACCAATGGGCGATGGATTTCGAGGGTAACACAAACCGCATCATAGCGTCCATTCGCGAGGCGAAGGCGCGAGGCGCGTCGTACCGGATCGGGCCGGAGTTGGAAATTACGGGCTACGGCTGCGAGGACCACTTCCTCGAGCACGACACGTGCCAGCACGCGTACGCCACGCTCTCTTTTCCCGTGACAGAATCTCGGCATCCTTGCCCTCCCCTGCGACGTGCCACGTGGCATCGATCGTCGACCTCCTTTCTTCTGCTGATCCGTGCCACCCTGCCGAACAGCTCAACTTATTTGCTGGGTCCGCGAGTGGCGCCGTGAATGAATTCGTAGATGCCATAGCATCGATTTTCCCGCCTTTCCTTGCTCCCCGTCCCATGAGCTGGGAGAATCCAGCCGCTATCACCGCCAGCAGCGCTACAGCCGGCATGCTCTGCAAGATCGGCATGCCAGTGGAGAGCACATCATGGCGTGTGCTACAACCTGAATTCGCAGCTCACCCCCTTCCCATGCCACCAGGTGGGAACGTTTGTCAAGCTGCCATCATCACCCGCGGTGCTACAGCTGGCATCATCTGTGACACAAGCCTGCCAGAGGACCACGACTATCTTTTCCCTCCCTCCACTCACTCTCCCCTTCTCTCCTCACTCTTCCCACATCCCCTCAATCTCCCCCCACCCTCAACACCTCAGCTGGGAATGCTTTTCAGCGATCATCGCAAGCGGCGCTACAGCCGCCATCCGATCCTGCTGCTGCGCCCCAAGATGGACCTGGCGAATGACGGAAACTACCGGGAAACGCGCTGGTTCGCCACGTGGAAGCGGTTGGGAGTGGTAGAGAGCGTGCGGTTACCAGCGGTGGTTACCGCGGCGTGTGAGGGGCAGAGGGAGGTGCCCATTGGGGATGGCGTGCTGGATCTGCTGGATAGGTGGGTGATGCCTGGACGGGTGGTATCTGGACGGGTGGTATCTGGATGGGTGATATGTGGGTGAGTGATACGTGGATACGTTATATCTGCTGTTGCGGTGGATGTCGACTGATCTGATATTGTAGCCAGGACCTCTCCACCTCTCCACCTCTCCGCAACTCCACCTCTCCACCTCTCCACAACTCCACCTCTCCACAACTCCACCTCTCCACCTCTCCACCTCTCCGCAACTCCACCTCTCCACCTCTCCACCTCTCCACAACTCCACCTCTCCACCTCTCCGCAACTCCACCTCTCCACCTCTCCACCGCTGTGCCTTCTATTGCAATGCCAGCAGAGGTGGTGAGGTGATCACACGCACAGTTCCCTCCTTGCGTTGTGATACGAGTACGCTCATATCCTTCTCTCCTCGTTACTCCTCGTCCCCGCGCCACCCTGGCGAGTGAGTCGTGTGAGGAGCTATTCACCCCTCTCGCTCCGAACATCCGAGCGGCACTGGCAGGAACAGAGGTGGTGGGCAACGGCAGCGAACGCACTCACTTTGTTGCCTCCTCGCCTCGTGTTTGCTACCTGTCCCCAACCTGTCTCCCCATTCTTCTCTCCTCCCAGCACCCTGGCGAGTGAGACATGTGAGGAGCTATTCACCCCTCTAGCACCGCACATCCGAGCGGCACTGGCGGGGGCAGAGGTGGTGGGCAACGGCAGTGGCAGCCACCACGAGCTGCGCAAGCTGGGGACCCGCGTGGGGCTCGTGCAATCGGCCACGAGCAAGGCGGGGGGGGTGTATCTGTACGCCAACCAGAAAGGATGTGATGGTGGAAGGCTGTACTACGGTGAGTGTGCTGTGTGCCTGTGTGTCTCAATTTTTCAACATCTCCAGTAGTGGCACAAGCAGTGTCAGGGGAGTTGAGCTTTCACCAACGGCAGCGGCAGCCACCACGAGTTGTGCAAGCTGGGCAAGCAGGTGGGACTGGTGCAATCTGCCACGAGCAAAGAGGGGAGGGGGGGGGGGGGGGGGTGTATTGTACGCCAACCAGAAGGGGTGCGAGGGAGGAAGGCTGTACTACAGTGAGTGGGGTGCTGCGCTTGTGACCTGTGCAATCCGGGCGGCACACGCGAGAGGCTTGTGCTGTATGCTGTGTCTGCAGCACGGTGTTTGGTTCTGCAGCGACGCTACACATCTTTCCCTTTTGCGCCTCTCCCATTCCCTTGTCTTTCCATCCCCTCCTCACGCCCTTCCCCAAACCCCCCCCCTCCCCCCCCCTCCCCTCTCACCAGACGGGTGTGCGATGGTGGTGGTGAACGGGCAGGTGGTGGCGCAGGGATGGCAGTTCTCAAGGTTTGAGACATATCAAATCCCGTGTCTCCCTATCCCTCTCCCTGCCCCTCCCCTCTCTCCCCCTCGTTTTTCCCCTTGTAAATTCACCAGACGGGTGTGCGATGGTGGTGGTGAACGGGCAGGTGGTGGCGCAGGGATGGCAGTTCTCAAGGTTTGAGACATATCAAATCCCGTGTCTCCCTATCCCTCTCCCTGCCCCTCCCCTCTCTCCCCCTCGTTTTTCCCCTTGTAAATTCACCAGACGGGTGTGCGATGGTGGTGGTGAACGGGCAGGTGGTGGCACAGGGATCGCAGTTCTCATTGGCTGATGTCGAAGTGGTAACCGCCACAGTGGACCTCGACCAGGTGCGTTGACTTGAGTTGACCAACTGCGTTGACGTGAATTGCCCAGCTGCATTGACTTGAGTTGACCACTGCATTGACTTGAGTTGACCAGATGCATTGACTTGAGTTGACCACTGCATTGACTTGAGTTGACCAGATGCATTGACTTGAGTTGACCAGATGCATTGACTTGAGTTGTCCAGATGCATTGACTTGAGTTGACCAGATGCATTGACTTGAGTTGACCAGCTGCATTGACTTGAGTTGACCAGATGCATTGACTTGAGTTGACCAGATGCATTGACTTGAGTTGACCAGATGCATTGACTTGAGTTGACCAGATGCATTGACTTGAGTTGACCAGATGCATTGACTTGAGTTGACCAGCTGCATTGACTTCAGCTAATCAGGACTGGACTTGGGTTGAATTCGCCGCTCAATAAACCGAGTGTTGGTTCAGGCATTTGGCCCATGCCTCTCAATCGCAACCGCGCGGGAATACGCAGGAAACACACCGCAATACAATGTAAACTCCAGTGATGCCCGGAACCAAGTGCAATAAGCTTCAGGCACTGTGTGTATCACACTGTATTCCTGCGTGTTACCGTGCATCACCCCATGACTGCATGCCCGCATGGGCTCGTCTCACCCACGCCCATCTTACCGTGCGCGTGTGAGAGGTCCTGAAGGAGGCTGGCAGCATGCATGCACCGATGGCACCCTCTTTCAGAGCCCCTCTCGGCCACCACTCTCCGCAGTGCTTCACGCTCTCTGCTCCTCACGTGCCTTTCTTTCCCAAACCACTTCCCTCCTCCTGCCTGCCTCTCATCTCATACCTCTCGTCCCTCACTTGCCCCCCTCCCCCCTTGCGCCCCTCTAGGTGGCCACCTACAGAGGCGCCATCAGCAGCCTTAGGGAGCAGGCCTCTCGTCCCTCTCCGGCCTCTCATCGCTGTCATGCACCGCGCACCTCTCCCCTCTACTGTCCCTCCAGGTGGCGACCTACAGAGGTGCCGTCTGCAGCCTGAGGGAGCAGGCCTCAGCCTTTCTCTTTTCCCCTCATTCCTCTCATCCTCTCATCTTCTCATGCCTCCCATGCCTCTCATGTCTCTCTCTCCTGCCCCTCACACTTCTTCCCCTTTTGCGTCCCTCCAGGTGGCAAGCTACAGGGGCGCCATCAGCAGCCTGAGGGAGCAGGCCTCAGCGTCCGCCCCAGCACCCTCCGCCTCCTTCCCCACCCTTTCCTCCTCTGCCTCCGCCTCTCCTGGCATCGTCCGCATTCCCTCCGACATCTCCATCTGCCATCCTGCATCCGCCAGCCTTACACTCGCCATCTCACACCCCATTCAGGTACCCCTCCCTCCGCCCTTCTTCTGCTCTCCTCCCACCCTGCTCCCACTATCTCTCCACTCTCCTCCCAGTCTCCTTCTCTTCTCCTTCTGCTCTCCCTCTACTCAGCTGAAGATTTCATTGCATTGCATCGTATCCCCCTTGCTGTTTTACCTCCTTCAACCTTCCACTTGTGCAAAAAGCTTGCTTATCACGAGACTACTCACCACCCGTTCTCCATCTGCTGTGCCCAGATCCGCTATCACTGCCCTGGAGAGGAGATAGCTCTCGGCCGGCGTGGTGGCTGTGGGACTACCTGAGGCGCCGAGAGGCACTGGCTTCAGAGTGCCTCTCGTCCCACTCCCTCCTCGCATGCCCTCATGCTCCCCCTGCTTACTCCGCCCACACGCCACCAGATTCGCTACCACTGCCCCGAGGAGGAAATCGCTCTGGGCCCAGCATGTTGGTTGTGGGACTATCTGCGGCGCAGCGGGGCTTCAGGCTTCCTGCTACCGCTGTCTGGCGGTGCTGACAGCTCCTCTGTGGCCGCTATTGTCGGGTGCATGTGCCAGCTGGTGGCGAAAGGTATGATGCGGTGCTATGCAGTCCTATGTGGTGCTGCGGGGTGCTGTGGGGTTTCCATAGTAATGCTGCTGTCTGGCGGTGCTGATAGCTCTTCTGTGGCCGCCATAATGCGATGCATGTGCCTACCAGCAGGTGGCTAAAGGTGTGATGCGGTGCTATGTGATACTATGAGGTGCGATTGGATGCTATGGGGTGCTGTGCTGCCTTTCTGCTGACAGCTCATCTGTGGCCGCTGTTGTGGGGTGCATGTGCCAGCTGGTTGCTACAGGTGTGACGGGTGGTAGCAATGGGGTGCTGCGGGGTTCTAGGGGGTGGTATGAGGTGCTATGCTGCCTTGCTGCTGACAGCTCATCCATGGGCGCCACAGTGGGGCGTCACAGCTGGTAGCCATGTACCCCAGTGGGGTGCAGTGCATGTAGCAGCTGGTGGCACTAGTGGAGGGCAACGGGCAGGTTTGTGCAGCAAGAGGTAGAGTGGGTCACACTCACGCCCTCCCTGCCACTACAACCCCTCTCCTCCCAACAAAACCCTTCTACTTCCACATCCATGCCCTCTCCTTGTGTTCACCTGTGCTCCCCCCTCATAGCCATATCAGAGGGCTGTGAGCAGGTGTGTGCGGCAGGACGCAGGGCAAATGATGTCCCCCGCACACCACACCCCTTCTGCCCGTCCCTCCCTCCGCTTCCCACGCCCTGCCCTTGTGTTTTCCCCTTTGCAGCCATAGCAGAGGGCGACGAGCAGGTGCGGCAGGACGCGGCGCGAATCACGGGGCTACAGCTGGCGGCAGGGGCGGCAGCAGAGGAGCAGAAGCAGCAGGCTGCCATGCTGGCAGATCGCATCCTGCACACCATCTACATGAGCACGGAGAACAGGTTTGTAGTTACCTTACCTTCCTACCCCCCGTGTTCCCATGACTGCCATTTGCATGCTCGTTGACTAAAGCCTAGTGCCTACACCACACCCATTTTATTCCCATTAGTGCCACACTTATTGTCTAAAAGCGAGACTCTAAAAGCCTCTATGTATCCTCAGGCATTCTTTATTTGGACACTATGAGCAGGTCAGTACCTGCTCTATGGGTGCCGCATAGCCCTTTGTGCTTCCCCCTATCCCGCCCCTCTGTTCTCCTTCCTCTCACCTCCCACCTATCTCCCTTCAATGCCATCGCCTATGCACACAGCTCCCAGGCTACAAGGGCACGAGCAAAGCAGCTAGCCTCAGAGATAGGCGCGTGGCACGTGGACACGAGTACTGATTCCGTGGTCGCTGCTGTTGTGGCTGTCCCCTCCCCTCCCTCTCACCCCCCCCTCACCCACACAGCTCCCAAGCTACAAGGGCACGAGCGAAGCAGCTAGCGTCGGAGATAGGCGCATGGCACGTGGACACGAGCATAGACTCGGTCGTTGCTGCTGTTGTGGTGCTCTTTCTCACTGTCACGGGCCTGCGCCCTCAATACAAGGTGGGGCCGCCTGGATTGCTTTCCTTGCAATCACCCTCCGTGCAATAACCTTTCTTGCAGCACCAATGAGCAGCTGTAGCCATCCCCCTCATTTACCTGATTCAAATTTGATTCACCTCAAAAGCTTACTCGCAGAACAAGCAAGGGCCGTCTTTGCCTCTGATTTCCATTCCCCCCCGCTTCTCCCTCAGCCCCTTCCCCCCCACACAATTAGAAGCAGGTAGCCGCCCAGATCCGACACCAGCTGCACGAAGCGAAGATGCTGCTGAACGGGTGGACATTCCCTGATGTCTGTCGCCTCGACGACGACCGCAGGACCAAAGTGCAGTTTCGAGTCCCTGGCGAATCCAAAGGCAGTCTCGGAACGTGAGAGGGCCATTCAGAGGCATCGTTAGCTGCTGCCAGGAAGGCAATTCTTTGAGCCAAGTTCATATTTGAGTGGAAGCATCACACTGCTGAGCGTGGGGGCACGGAAGGGGCAGCAGTGTGATGCTTCCACTCAAATATGAACTTGGCACAAAGAATTGCCTTCCTGGCAGCAGCTAACGACGCCTCTGAATGGCCCTCTCACGTTCCGAGACTGCCTTTGGATTCACCAGGGACTCGAAACTGCACTTTGGTCCTGTGGTCGTCGTCGAGGCGACAGACATCAGGGAATGTCCACCCGTTCAGCAGCATCTTCGCTTCGTGCAGCTGGTGCCAGATCTGGGCGGCTACCTGCTGCCACTTCTGAACATCCAAGCCCGCCTGCGCATGCTGCTCGCTTTCCTCTTCACGTCTCACTGTCTCTGGAAGCCCATTCCCTCCCATTCTCCACTTTCTCCCTCCCCCCCCAACTGGACGGGAGCACATCAGCGGAGATCCTGGCTCTGCAGAACATACAAGCCCTTCTGCGCATGCCGCTCGCCTTCCTCTTCGCCTCTCCTTGCCTTGACGTGCCCAATTTTTCCCACCTTCTCTCTCCTTTCTCCGTCCCTTAACTCCCCACCCCATCCTCCCAGCTGGACGGAGGCACATCGGCTGAGAACCTGGCTCTGCAGAACATCCAAGCGCGCCTGCGCATGGTGCTCGCCTTTCTCTTTGCGCAGCTGCTGCCCTGGGTGCGGGGACATGGGGGGAAAGGGGGAGCAGCCGGCGTATCACAGGGGGAGAAGGGGATAGAGGAGGGGCAGAAGGACAGCGGGGAAGATGGGGCGCCAGGGGGAGGCGAAGGAGGGGAGGGAAGAGTGGTGGGGGGCGAAGCGGTGCCAGAGGGAGGGGTGTTGGAGAGGGGCAAGGGGAGGGGAGGGGGGTTGGAGCAGCGGGGGGGCGGAAGGGGCTTTCTGCTCGTGCTAGGCAGTGCCAACGTGGACGAGGCTCTGAGGGGATACCTCACTAAGGTGTGCTTATAGGGGGATGAGAGCATGGTTTATCACAGTCACCTCACCACTGATTTATCTAATCAAGTGACAGCAGCGACAACACTTGCAACGCCCTTGACAGGAGCAGCAGCAGCAGGCGAAGAGGCGGCGGTGGCAGGGCGGCAGCAGGAGGAGCAGGTGGAGGAGGCGAGGAGAGGGTGGGGGAGCAGCCCCCCCCTCCACCTGCTCCTCCTGCTGCCGCCCTGCCACCGCCGCCGCCTCGCCTGCTACTGCTACTCCTGTTGAGGGCGTTGCCAGTGTTGTCACTGCTGCTCCTGCTGTTGCTGCTGCCAGTGTTCTTATTGTTGCTACTGCAGGTGTTTTTGCAACTGCTGTCGTTATTGCTGCTGCTGTTGGTGGTGTTGCTCATGCTAGAGGGAGAGGGGGAGTGAGAGTGAGAGGTAGAGGGAGAGGGAGAGGCAGAGTGAGAGGGAGAGGTAATGGAGAGTGTTGGCGTTGCAAGACATCCACCTTGGCCTCATCTCAACACTAAATGATTTTTTTGGTATATCAACAGAGCATTTATTCCCCCATCCCTTCTTTCCCACCCCCCTCCCCCTGTTCCCATCATTACCACTGCAGCAGTGCCAATATCAACCCCATCGGGGACATCACAAGACGGACCACCACCGCTTCCTGCGCTGCAGCAGTCCAGTTCAGCTTCGCCTCAACAGCACTCCCAGTACTCCATCCCTTCACTCCATCCCCTGTTCTCCCACCACACCTCCACCAGTACGACTGCAGCAGTGCAGACATCAACCCCATCGGCGGCATCAGCAAGACGGACCTCCGCTGCTTCCAGTTCTCACCATTTCTCCCTTGCCTCCCTTTTGATCACCATTCCCACCTCCATTCTCCTGCTCCTTCCCCACCAGTACGACTGCAGCAGCGCAGACATCAACCCAATTGGTGGAATCAGCAAGATAGATCCTGTTGTTTCCACCAGTCCTCTCCACACCCCAACTTGCCTCCCATTTGATTACAACTCTCGCAAGCATTCCGCTCCCCCTTTCCCACCAGTACAACTGTAACAGTGCCGACATCAACCCCATCGGAGGCATCAGCACGATGCAGGAGCAGCAGCGACAACACCTGCAGCGCCCTCAACAGGAGCAGCAGCAAGCGAGGAGGCGGCGGTGGCAGGGCGGCAGCAGGAGGAGCAGCCGCCCCCTCCACCTGCTCCTGCAGCAGTGCCGACATCAACCCCATCGGAGGCATCAGCAAGATGGATTCAATCCTCACCCATCCCCACCCCTATTCCCACCACCATCGCCTCCCCCACCCTCTCTTCCTGCACTCTCAACAGTACGACTGCAGCAGTGCAGACATCAACCCCATTGGCGGAATTAGCAAGACAGACCTCCGCCGCTTGCTGCGCGGGGCAGCAGCCCCCCTCGGCTTCGCCTCAACACTCCCACTCTCCCATCCGCTTCCCCCTTCCCTTCTCGCCAGTACGACTGCAGCAGTGCGGACATCAACCCCATTGGCGGCATCAGCAAGACGGACCTTCGCCGCTTCCTGCGCTGGGCGGCAGTCCACCTTGGCTTCGCCTCATTGGCCGACGTCGAGGCCGCGCCGCCCACCGCTGAGCTGGAACCAATCAGAGCGGACTACGTGCAGGTGGGCCAATCAGAGCAGGCTACATGTATTTGGGCCAATGATGCGCTGTGAAGAGGAGGCGATATGGACTGCATTGCAGATTGCAGAGTGCAGACGGATATGACTAATGTCATCCATGCTGGTGGCAATTTCTGATATGATCCCATGGCATGTCATGTCATGCCACGTTATCATGTCATCCCATGCTATGCCATCAAATGCCATGCCATGCAATGGCAATCCCATTCCATGCCATCCCATGCCAAGCCATAAACAGGTGGACGAGGTGGACATGGGCATGACCTACGAGGAGCTCTCCCTCTCCATCCCATGCCATGATGTGCCATGCATTCCTATGTCATGCGATTCCATGTCATGCCATCTCACGCACAGGTGGACATGGAATGACCCATGAGGAGCAATCTCTCTCCATCACATGCCATGTCACTCCATGTCACGTGTTCCATATGGGTGGACGAGGTGGACATGGGCATGACATACGAGGAGCTCTCCATCCCATGCCACCCCATCCTGTGCCATGCAATCCCACGCCATGCCATCTCAGGCGCAGGTGGACGAGGTGGACATGGGCATGACCTACGAGGAGCTCTCCCTCTCCATCCCGTGCCATGCCACCGCTTCCATGCCCTGCGTTTTCACCCCTTCTATCCCCTGTCATGTGCCGTGCACAGGTGGACGAGGTGGACATGGGAATGACATATGAGGAGCTCTCTCTATATGGCCGCCACCGCAAGGTCATGCGCTGCGGCCCCGTTGCCATGTTCCAGGTGCGTGCGATAGTGGAAGTGTATGTGTCATGTTGTATGCATGCACTATGTGCCATGCCATCCGCTTTGGCCCTAATACCATTTTCCATGCCCTCATGGATATGTACATGACGCCTACAACCCAATTTCATGTGGTCACACTATGTGAACATGCCATGTTGACTCTCTGCTGTAATAACACTAATCTGCTACCCTCAGCACCTCTTCACTCCCCTCCCACCTCTCCCCCCTTCACAGCATTTATGCCACGAGTGGCGGCAGGGGCTGACAGTAGCGGAGATAGCAGCAAAGGTGAAGGCGTTCTTCCGCTTCTACTCCGTCAACCGCCACAAGATGACCACGCTCACCCCCTCCTACCACGCTGAGGTAACCGCTCACTCCCTCACTTACTCCCTCACTCCCTCCTTTGCTCACGTCTCCTACCATGCCAAGGTAACCTCTCACTCCCTCACTCCCTCATGTGCTCACTCCCTCAGTCTCTCTCTCCGTCACTTCCTCTATCCCTCATACGATGCTGCGGCAGCCCCTAACTGCCTCCTGCCTCCCCTCGCCACACTTCAAGAACTACTCCTAAAAGGACAACCGGTTCGATTTGCGCCAGTTCCTGTACAACGTGGCATGGCATCACCCCCGTTTCCCCTTGCGTCTTCCTCCGTCCCATCTCCCTCCCATCTCCCTCCCATCTCCCTGCCCTCTTCCGCCAGTCAGAACTACTCCCCGGAGGACAACCGGTTCGATTTGCGCCAGTTCCTGTACATCGTGTGATGGCCCCACTCCCACCTTCGTTGCTCCGCCACCCTCCCTTCCCGACTCCCCGCCCATCTCTCCCGGGGCATAATTATTCTCCCGAGGACAACCGGTTTGACCTGCGCCAGTTCCTGTACAACGTGGCATGGCATCACCCCCGTTTCCCCTTGCGTCTTCCTCCCTCCCCTCTTCCTCCCATCTCCCTCCCATCTCCCTCCCATCTCCCTCCCCTCTTCCGCCATTCAGAACTACTCCCCCGAGGACAACCGGTTCGATTTGCGCCAGTTCCTGTACAACGTGGCATGGCCGTGGCAGTTCAGGCGGATTGACCAACTCGTGGCAGAGCATGAGGCAGCGGCGGGAGCAGGTGCGGCAACACCTTCAACTGAGGGTGCTAGCGCAGCGGGAGCTGCAATGTGACGTGGCGTGGCCGTGGCAGTTGAAGCGCATCGGCCAGCTCGTGGGCCAGCATGAGGCTGCTGCTGCAACAGGCGCAGTAGATGCTTCTGCTGCTGCTGCTGCTGCTGCTGCTGCTGCTGCTGCTGCTGCTGCTGCTGCTGCTGCTGCTGCTGCTGCTGCTGCTGCTGCTGCTGCTGCTGCTGCTGCTGCTGCTGCTGCTGCTGCTGCTGCTGCTGCTGCTGCTGCTGCTGCTGCTGCAGTTGAGAGCACGAATGGAGCTGTGGCTGCAGCTGAAGGAGATGGAGGAGGTGAGGATGGTGTAAAGCTTCAGGGAATGCGTTGGTAAAGCCTCAGCAGGAAGCTGGAGGAGAAAACTGCTGATGGTGTTGCCGATGCTTATGGCACTGGTGGAAAGAAGTGGAAGTAGGGCCAAGGTGGAGCATAGCACGCAGTGGAGTGACTAGGAGTATTCTTACATCTTCCCCTGCATTAGTAGCATGGGGAGACAGGAGGGTTCATCTGTGTGTGCATTCTGCACGATGGTGGCGCTTGTTGAGTTGTGAAAGGAGAATGGTTATGTACGGTAGTTGATTTGCCAGGGAATATAGACACACCTTTTTTTATAGTGGGGCAATATAGCGTAAGAATCTTATACTGTATGTTAAAGAGTATCAGCTGTAGTGTGACTGCTCCAATGCTCTTCTGTTTCCACTATGAATTGTGCTTTGGAACATCTTTGATTCTCAGTTTTGTCACATTTGACAGGCTGCTGCAAGTCCCAGCAGAAGGGCGTGAAACACCGTGTTGTACATTCGTAGGGTTATGACAGAAACTGTGCTGAATTCATCAATGTTAGGTCCGTTCAGTCATCATAAAAAACAAACAGCACAGCTAAACGTTGTGAAATCTGTAACCCCTCAAACTCCAGGCAATTGACCACTCTGGACAAGCCATTCCAGAATGTTCCACGCCCTAAGAGAACCCAAGTTTTGGCACACCGAGGGAACTAAAACCATTGCTTATACAGCTTATTGTGGAATGTGCACATTTCAATTGCCACTCGTCAGGTGGATCCACATGATGCACAGTAACCACCAACCATCCCATCAATATACCCAACACATCAGACATTCGGTCGTTGCCCCTGTGGGACCAGCAGCAGGTGTCAGCAGACAACAGCAACCCCTTCACTGACCAGAGAATCATCTGCTTGCCATGCACCTGCATCACCGCATCACCTTCAAATCCTCTCTGCTCCAAGCTCTCTTCCAAGCTGCCAAGAAGAAAACCCAATGGAAACCCATTCATTCGTAATCTCCGCTGCTGCGCCTCCCCCATCCCCATCGTCCCCTGTGTCATCCCCTTGACTGCGTGCTACAGTTAAGCTCCGAGCATCCCGAGTAGCATCTAGAGTGTGCTGATCTTTAAATCAACCCCTCAGAAAATGTCCCCCCCGAAAAACATCGCTCCATAATCTCTGCTGCCTGCGCCTCCCCCATCCCCATTGCCCTCCAGGTCATCCCCTTGACTGCCCGCTACAGTCAAGCTCCGAGCATCCCAAGGGGCAAGGGCGACATTAGTGGCGTCTGAGGTGTGCTGATTTTTCAGTCGACTCACCAACTTACTAAGAGACACAACCCTTCACTCCATGATATCCGTGGCTTCACCTTCCCCATCGCTATCGCCCCCTGTGTCGTCGCCGTGACTGCCCGCGACAGACAAGCTCGCAGCATCGCGGGTGGCAACGGCAGTGTTGATGGCGTCTAAGGTGAGCTGGTTGTTGCTGTGAATCGCCTCGTCCACTGGCGTGCGCTCGTGGCTGGGGATTGCGGATTGGGGATGAGGGTCGTGGGGGACAGGGAGAACACAAAGTGGAAACGGGCAGGAGGAAGGGGCGGCACCAGTGGCATCTAAGGTGAGCTGGTTGTTGCTGTGAATCGCCTCGTCCATTGGGGTGCGCTCGTGGCTGGGAATAAGAGATGCGGGTTGTGGGAGAGGTGAAAACAAAGAGTTGAGAAGGGAAGTTGCAAGGCGCGGCGGGAAGAGCGTTTAGCGTGTGCTGATTGTTGCTGCGAATCGCCTCGTCCACTGGGGAGCGCTTGTGGCAGGGGATTGGGGATGGGAGTTGTGGGGGGAAGGTGAAAACACAAAGTTCAGAAGGGCATGTGCGAGGGGTGTGCTGGTTGTTGCTGTGAGTCGCCTCATCCACTGGCGTGCGCTCGTGGCTGGATGGATGGGAATGGAGTTTTAGGGGAGGCAGGTTGAGGGGATAGGAAGGAAGATGGGGGAATTACGAAATGGAAAACGGCAGGTGGGAGGGCTGTCTTGTTCTCCTCTGCCCGTGCTCAACACAAGACGACTGCATGGTTACAGCGATTGGGGTGGGTAGCAGAAAGCAGCATTGGATGTAGCTAGCAGCAGTCGGGGTGAGCAGCAGGCGGGGAGGTGTGAGGAGCGTGAGGGGAGGAAGGGAGTTACCTGTTGAGGGCGGAGGGGCTGGCTCCTGCAGCAATGAGCAAATGCACCATCTGATGGGTTGGGGAAGGGGGTGGGGTGCAGTGAGGTGGGGTGGGATGGGTTGCGTATGTGTGGGGGGCATTTTGAGGTCGAATGACGGAGGGGCTGGCTCCTGAATCAATAAGCAGATGCACCATCTGATGGGTTGGTGAGGAAGGAGTGGGGTGGATTGGGGTGGGATGGGGTGGAGTGGGGTGGGTGAACCTGATGAAGGACGAGTGACATCTGCTGTGGGTGTCAAAGTACCGCCTGTAATAGGAACTTTAAGACTGCAACCAGCTACAGCTGAATGCGATGGCGGTGATGCATGGCCCGTGACAAAACAATGTATTGGTTTCACTGGCGTTGCGGTGCAGTGCAGAGCAGAATACAATGGATTCCCCATCTGCAGAATACAATGGATTCCCCACCTGCAGAATACAATGGATTCCCCACCTGCAGAATACAATGGATTCCCCATTTGCAGAATACAATGGATTCCCCTGGCTTTGCTGCAGCCCCACCTGCCCCTGCTCCCACATGCACTCACACAGGCCCTCCCGTTCCCCCCTGCACCCATCCCCGCAACCATATTCTCTCCTCAACTCACCGAGTCAGAGTCCCTGCCATCCCCCCTGCACTCACTGAGTCCCTGCCATCCCCCCTGCACTCACTGAGTCCCTGCCATCCCCCCTGCACTCACTGAGTCCCTGCCATCCCCCCTTCACTCACTGTGTCCCTGCCATCCCCCCTGCACTCACTGTGTCCCTGCCATCCCCCCTGCACTCACTGAGTCCCTGCCATCCCCCCTGCCGACTCCTCAACACTCACCGAGTCCCTGCCATTGACAGCCGCCCAGTGGAGTGGTGTGTTGCCTTGCCGGTTCACTGCATTCACAGGCTGGCATGTAGAGGTGCAGGATGTAAGGGGTGCAGGATGGGGGCAGGGTGGAAGGTGCACGAGGTGCAGAGAGAAAGGCAGGGCATCAGAGCAGCGGCATGAGTAGCAGAAAGGGAAGGGCGCACGCAGCTCAGAGTGTGCTGTTTTGCGAATTCAAGGCATTCCCAGGCTGGAAGGTAGAAGTCACACAGACAGGCAGGCAGGTTGGCGAAGAGAGGGCGAAGGAGTGGAGGGTGGAGCAAAGGGTGTGGGGCAAGGGGTTGGGGCAAGGCGGGTGGGGCAAGTGAGAGACACTCACAGCGCCTCGTTGGATGAGCAGACGGGCGATCTCCGTGTGGCCATTGGCTGCTGCCATGTGTAGCGCTGCATGCATGCATGGCACAGGAGGGGGGTGTTGGGAAGGGGCTATGACATGTGCCGCGCTGCACACACACGCATGCATGCATGTGACAGGAGGGGGGTGTGGGGAAGGGGTTATGCCATGTGCAGTGCTGCATGCATGTATGTATGGCATACTGAGAAGGGAACGAAGGAGCGCGGGTGGAGGATGGGGGAGGGTTTCAGATCTTCACACCCGCCCTCCTTCGTGACCCTCTTGACTTAGACGCCCCATACTTTTACACCCCAATCTGACGTGTGCATGCAACCTTAAGCCCCGCCTGTGCGCCCCTCATCCCCCTCCCCCAACTGTTTGCCGCTCATCCTCCCCACTCCCCCCCCCCCACCTGTGCGCCCTTCATCCCCCCCCCTTACCCCCACCTGTGCGCCCTTCATCCCCCCACCTGTGTACCCTTCATCCCCCCCCCCTTACCCCAACCTATGCGCCCTTCATCCCCCCACCTGTGCGCCCTTCATCCCCCACCTGTGCGCCCTTCATCCTCCCACCTGTGTGCCCTTCATCCCCCCCCCCTTAGCCCCACCTGTGCGCCCTTCATCCCCCCACCTGTGCGCCCCTCATCCCCCCACCTGTGCGCCCCTCATCCCCCCACCTGTGCGCCCCTCATCATCCGCCACGCCAGCATCAGCTCCCCCGTCCAGCGCTGCTGCCACGTCATCCATGTCCCCGTACCGCGCCCCCTGCACGTGAGATGGGGGGAGGCAAGGGGAAGACACGGTGGAGATAGGGGGAAAGGGGGGTGGGGAAGTAGGAGGAGGGGGCTGAGAGCTGGATTTAGCAGACGCAATGCCGGGGGAAGAGGGAAAATGGGGAAATCGGACGCCGAAAGCGGGTTACAGAAATTGGCGGGATGGTGGCAAGCAGTGGGGTGGTGAGGGGAGGGCGGCGGGGGAGACGAGGGGGGAGCGGAGGGGAGAAACGTTGCGAGAGGGGCGGGAGACGAGATTGCGCGTGGAATCTGCTAAATCATCGGGAAAAGTATTGAAGACTCTTCCGCGCACCTGAATGAGGAGGTCCGCCAGATCTTCCGCCGCTTCCGCCATCACCGCGGGGGGCCCAGCGCCGTCGGACGGCGCGCTGGGATCGGCGGAAGAAACGCTTTGTGCAGGAGCGCACTCCGCGGGGGAAGCCTCTCCCATTCTCTGCGCTTGGGAGTCGTCGAATGCGGCTCTTCCCATTAGGAGGTGATACTTCTACTTTCTATTTACTAAGTGGCAAGGGCAGAAAAAGGGACGATGACAAGATTCGAAGACGTAACACAGCGGAACACGAATTCGTCAGCGCTTTTCTCCAATTGGTGGGCAACGAAGAACGAGGAGAGCAAGGGCCGTGGAGGAACTTGTAAAACAGAGTAGCTGTGAATACTGGATGGCTGGAAACTTGGCTGGAAAGTCTTAGCAGGGCTACTGGAATTGACTGGATGAGGTAAAACTTCACTATGTTCAAGATTAACAAGCCCACTAAAGCACAACTCTATAGGCATCACAAACAAGACAGATTGAAAGCTCAAACTAGGCTGATAGACAATGTAACTTCCCTGGTAACTTGGGCACAATCTAGATTGGATGGACCTTGAGTGACTTTGAGTGCCACATGAGGTGCATGAATAAGAAAACTCTGGATATTTCTGTTATAGCTGATTCTGATGTGTAGAAACCTGTAGAAACTGCCAACACTTCGGTTTGAAGGCAGCTTTGAACTGTATCGAGTCTTCGGCTGAAATCTGATTGGTGGCGGAACTTTCGAAGTACTTCCCGAAGCCTCTGATTCATCGCCGACATTCCCCCTTGCTGCTGCTTGTGTGCAAAGGGCTGGGGCGGCAGAAACTCGATTCTCCAACACTCCCCCTCGCACCAGACCCGAAGCACACATACACCCATGCTGATGCTCCTTTCACATCTCCTTAGCATACACTTCATGCTGCTGCCCACGTCTCTTCTCCTCACACTCCTCATTCTCCTCAAACTGCTCCACTGCTTCATGAAGTGTCATGAGGCCTGCTCTTGCCTTGCACATGTTGAATGCATCATGTGGAAGAACCTTGGTCATGAATTCTGCTGCTTGATCGAATGAGCGGCAAAAGTTGACGGCGAGAACTCCCTTTTCTATTTGCTCACGGATGAAATGGTACTGCACCTCGATGTGTTTTGTACGGCCATGATGAACCGGGTTCTTGGATAGGGCGATGGCTGAAGTGTTGTCCACGTAGAGCGGAGTCGGTTGAGTTTGCGGCTGCCTCAAGTCCTCCATGAGTCCACGTAACCAGATTGCCTCCCTTGCTCCTTCGGTCATTGCCATGTACTCAGCTTCGGTAGTAGAAAGCGCCACACAACTTTGCTTGCGTGATTGCCAAGAAACAGCGGCACCGCACATGAGGAAGATGTAGCCGCCGGTGGACTTGCGTGTGCTCAATTCTCCCGCCCAATCTGCATCGGTGAAGCCTTGGAGGGAGCATGCATGTGGGCTGGCTTGGAAGAGAAGACCAAGATTAGAAGTACCTTTGAGATACCTAAGAGCTCGCTTGGCTGCATGCATATGGATGGGTGATGGGGCACTCATGTGTTGAGCTAGCTTGGATACCGTGAATGCTAAGTCAGGCCTTGTACATAGGGCTGCATACATCAGACACCCAACCTGACTTTGGTAGAGTGCTAGATCTTGTGGAGATACCTTGGGTGAATTCTCACCATGATGCTCACTCTCCTCAAGACGCAACTGCTCAATACCCGTGATGTCAAGGTTTAACTCTCTCTCCTCATAGAGCTGATGCGAAGACAAAGGGACAAAGTTGGAAAGAAGCGGGGTAGGTGATGGCTTGCTATCATCAAGACCAAACCTCTCAAGGACCTTTTGGATATACCTTTGCTGAAATAGGAAGATGGACCGTGAATTATGATCTCTCACAATGTTCATACCAAGATAATGACTCAGCTCACCAAGATCGGTCATTGTGAATGCACTCATGAGAATACCTTTCACCTTGTTGAAGAGATCAAGAGAACCTGAGACTAGGAGGAGATCATCGACATATACCAAGAGCCAAATGTACTCCCCCTCACTCGTGTGCATGAAGTACAACGCGTTGTCTCTCATGGACCTTGTGAAACCGTGCTTGAAGAGTACCTTCTCAAGAGCATGATACCATACCCGTGGGGACTGTTTGAGACCATAAAGTGACTTTACCAAGCGACAAACTCGACCCGTACCATCATCATAACCTTCGGGTTGTGCCATGTATACCTCTTCTTCCAAGACACCGTAGAGAAATGCGTTCTTGACATCCATTTGATGGATATGGAGACCAAGATATGCGGCTATGGCGAGGAGAACTCGTACCGTGGTGTACTTGGCTACCGCGGCAAAGGTTTCGGTGAAGTCAAGACCTGGAATTTGGGAGTAACCTTTTGCCACTAACCTTGCCTTGTACCTATCAAGGCTACCATCACCTTTTACCTTAATCTTGTACACCCATTTGACACCAATGACCTTCTTCCCTGGAGGTGGCTCAACAAGACGCCATGTACCTCGCTTCATGAGACTCTCAATCTCTTCTTCCTCGGCCTTCAACCAATGCTCTCTCTCAGGACTTGTCATTGCCTCACGACGACTCAATGGCTCTCGTGGAAGGTGTGAGGCTGCCATGCATATTGCTTCTACCTTCTTGTGAATGCAATTCTCGCTCTCCTCACATGTGCACCTTGATGACATGTCGACCATGAATGTGAAGGGCTTTTTTACCTTGCGGACTCGTTTACCTTTACCATACTCCTCACTTGGCTGAGACACATCAGTGGTAGGGTTCGGTCTCACAGTGTTTGGATGTGTTGGTACGGTCATTTGCGGCTGAGACAACGGCTGCGACAACGGCTGCGACGGCGGCACGGCTGCATGATGTTCTCTCGACGTGAAACTCTCTCGATTATCGGTGTCGACTTGAAGAATAGGTGTGGTGACTAGTGGCGGTGAAGCTGAAGCGTTCGTCAGCATAGTTGGTTGTGAAGATGCTCGTGGTGGGGATCTTGAGACTAGAAGCTTGGGGATTGATGATGACGCTGCGTTGTCGAAAGTTGGAGATGTTTGGGTCTGATTGGTGTTGGTTCTCGGTGTTGAAGATGACGGTAGTTGATGACGGCCGATTCCGGGACGTGGGGGTGAAGTTGAGAAGGGCCTTGGATGAAGAAGTGGGCTGTTGGAGCTGGTATTTGTGGTGACTCGCTGAAGAGATCCTCGTGCTATGAGCTGGCTTGACGTTGGAACCTGAAGTGATGAACGGGTGGAACGAGGTGTGGTGGTGACGGCTGGCTTGTTGATAGGAAGAGTCGTAGATGGTGCTGATGTAGGTACTTGGAGTCTTGTAGCTGTAGGTTGCTGCTGCATCGGATGATGGTGAGCTTCTGTAGTTGCCTCTGGAGTGACGGCTGGTGATGGGTCTGATGGTGTAGTGGTGGGCTGATCCGGTTGACGTTGAACTTGCGGGGTTAGTGTTGAAGTAGCTGGCTGGTTGGTGACGGTTGGCTGCTGCTCCTTTGGCGGTGATGGAACGGTGACTTCCTGGGGTGGATGGTCTTCATTTGATGGCTGGACCACATCTCCACTTGGTTGAGTAGCTGCTGGTGGCACTGGTGTGGCGCGGCTGGTCTCGTTGACGACGGCTTGCGGGAGATTGATGATGGGTCCGTTATGGTCAGAATCGATGTCATCTTCTTCCTCCTCTTGTATTGTTTCCTCAGGTGCGCTTGCTGGTTCCTGTTGGATAGAGGGTAGAGAGGAGGAAGAGGAAAACTTATGCCAACCTGCAAGGGACATGTCTTCATAGAAGACAACATCCCTTGAAACCACTTCTCGCTTGGTGACAGGATCCCAAAGGACCCATCCCTTGCTCTCATTGCTCATGCCGATGAAGAGGCCCCAATGAGCTTTGCTGTCCAGGTGGCGTCTCTTTGCATCTGGAACACGGTATTGGGCCATGGAACCAAAAACACGAAGCATAGACAGATCTGGTTTAACTCCAAACCAAGCCTCATATGGCGTTACACCTTCCGGTAGGGGCCTTGTGGGTCTCCTGTTGCGAACATAAATTGCCATAGTGATTGCCTCACCCCACCAGAGCTTGTCAAGGCCTTTAAACCGAAGAAAAGTGGTAGCTATAGCTTGAATAGTGCGATGAAACCTCTCTGCCACTCCGTTTTGCTGTGGGCTATAGGGACAAGTAAACTGTTGTTTGATGCCCAATGCCAACAACTCCCCCTGAAACGCTTTCCCCATGTACTCACCTCCTCGGTCCGACCTCAAGGTGAGTAACTTCTTCCCTGACTCTCTCTCAACAAGTGCTAGCCATTGCTTGAAACACTTGTGAACTTCATCCTTGGTGTTGATGAAAAAGGACCACGAGAAACGACTCTTGTCATCAATGAAAGACACCAAATATCTCTTACCGTTTCGAGTAGGGTCTCGCATGGGGCCGAAGACATCAGTGTGGACCAACTCTAGGAGGTCCCTTGACTGAGACTTAGAAGGGAAGAATGGCTTTCTAGCTAGCTTACCTTCCACACAAGATGGACATGGAACGGAAGAAAGGGACTTGACTGCACTTTCACTCAAACTCAATCCTTCCACGCCCTTGTGTTTTACCAACTCTTTCAATGCTTGCACTCCCACGTGCCCCAAGCGTGCATGCCATACCTCAGCTTGGGAGATACTCCCTTTGTTGTTGACTTGATCGGTTGAAACAGCGGGAAGCGAGACAACGTCGTTCTTCGTGTTGCTAGCACTGCGCTTAATCTCCAACTTCATCTTGTAGAGCCGCCCGGTACGCTCGCCTTCAGCCACCAGATTTCCTGCACTGTCCCACACTTTGGCTTTCCCCCCTTGCAAGAGAACAGAGGCACCTTTCTCTTCGAGTTGTCCGGCTGAGAGCAAGTTTGCTCCCAAATCAGGAACAAACAAAGCTTTATTGACACAAAATGACTTACCATCCTTTTCGAACTCAAGCTTGCCGACTCCTTTGATAGGTACTTTGCCAAGATCAGCAAGAGTCACAGCTTTTGAGTCATATGAGGGCTGAAAATCCTTGAGAATGGACTGATAGGGAGTCATGGTTTCAGAGCAGCCACTATCAAGAATAAACTCCTCACTACTA